CCCTGTAAACCCAGAAGCTGCAAGCGGTAGACTCCAAGCCCTGAAAGCGCTTACGAAGCCCCATGCCCTTCTCAAGAAACACCCTATATAGGGTTTAGGGTTTAGGGTTTAGGGTTTAGGGTTTAGGGTATAAACCTGGTTTTGGGGCCATTACACACTATAATTCCCTATAATTATCCCTAAACCCTAAACCCCAAGCCCTAAACCCTAAACCCTAAACCCTAAACCCTAAACCGATAATTGCAAAACTCCAGGAGAGGTTCTGGTCCAGGGTTTCCCCCGAAATTTATCTGCCTCTCGCGTCGCCTCTCCCGTCGCCTCTCCCGGCCCCGGAGTTGGGACCAAGATGCCCAGTCCCCCGCTCCATGCGGATGCGGCTGAGCTGAAGAACGTAGCCGTAAAGATGATGGGTGGCAAGAAGGCGGCTTGGCAGATCCTGGCTGGCGGCTTCGGGCTGGCAAGGGAGTTTAAATTAGAGGAGTTGGGGGTTTTTGGGCTTTAGGTTTGGGGTTCAGGGTTGGCATTGAGGCTCTAGGATTGAGGGTTTAGGGTTTAGGGTTTAGGGTTTAGGGCTCAGGAAGCCCAGGCCTCAGTTCTAGCGCGGGTTTCAGGATGTGCCACGCTAAAGCTTGAGCCCTTAGCCACAAGCTTTAACCTTAAAGCCCTCCACACCCTAAACCTTAAACCCAAAGCCCTAAACCCCAAACCCTAAACCCTAAACCCTACCCTAAAACCCTAAACCCTAAACCTTAAATTTTAAACCCTAAACCCTAAGCCCTAAACCCCAAACCCTCTGCTCCCCTTAGCCCCTGAACCTTTTGATCCTCTTCCCTTGCACGTTCCCTCGCCCGAAGACACCTGGCGGGCACCGAATCAAAGAGCCCTAATGACTAGAATAGGGTTTCGGGGCCCATTGTACTATAGTTATAATAAGGAGCCCCCAAGAGTATTGGTAATTGTTTAGGCCCTTACATTAGACTCAAAAAACGCCAAACCTCAAGCCTTTCAAGCCTCCACCGGTGAACCCTTAACCGTTAATCCCACCTTCGCCTTAGGGCCCTCGGCCTTGTGTTTTGGGGGGGGGGGGTTCGGGCTTAAGACACACATAGGGGTTGATTAGATTACATTTTTTTCGGTTCAGGGTTTTAGAGTTTAGGAGCGCAGGGTGCTGTAGGGCTTTGGGCTTCGGGTGCTAAAGTAGGGATTCAGCACCGGTTTGGGGTGTAGGAAGGCGGGTTTAGGGTTCAGGGTTAAGGTTTGGGGTTAAGCATAGTCTACCCAAAACCCAACCCTAAACCCTAAACCCCTGAACCCCTGAACCCCTGAACCCCTGAACCCATAAACCCCTAAACCGTAAACCCTAAACGCCTAAACCCTAAACCCTGAACCCCAAAACCCTAGAAAAGCCCAGGTCTCCACCACTTCGATTCCTTCGATGGGGCTCGCCTCTTCTTGGGCGGAGGCGCGCTTCGGGGTTTCAGGGTTTTCGGCTTTCAGGTTAATCTCTGTAAAAAAGCACATGTTATATATTATATATTATAATACATACCACATACATGATATTACATTATATTAGATTATATCACATTATATTACACTATACGATAAAACGTTATAACAATTATCATATTAGTATATGATACACATATATGTCTGTGTACTTATATAATCTTATATATATACATATTTAAATTTACATAGAAAATATGTACATGTATGTATCCAGGGTTTGTAAGTGGGAAGGATTTCAAGCTTTGAGGATTTTAGTGCTTGGGGTTTGGGTCCTTCACTCCGGACAGCCAGGTACCATAGAGCTTGAAACTTCAACGCCGGTGCCTATCTAAGGTTAGAAGTATGGGCCCCTAATATGGACCCTTAGGCCTTTCAAGGGACCCATAAGGGTACATATAGGGTATATAGTGGATATATAAGGATCCCAGGTTAAGGGCCCATACCAGGGGCCCATGGGTTCCACCTTAGAGCCTAAAAGTGGTGGCGTGTACTTGGAGGTTCATGGGTGGGTAGTTATAAGTGGGGGTATAAGTCCCCTAATATGGGTTATAAGTATAGCTACCCTACTTATAACCTCATCTATAACTATCCATCAACCTCCAAGTAGGAGGAGGCGGAGGATGTAACAGTGTAGGACCTGGATCTTAGGGTCGAGATTCCCAATCTTAGGCGAGAACATCCCGGGAGTGTTCTTCAGGGTCCAGGGCTTACCGCGGGCCAGCGGGTAACCAACCAGGAAACATCTGCTTTCGGTACCGCCCGAAGCCCGGAGCGGAGCCGTCACCGCTCACCTGCAGCATTCTACAAGCATGGACTCTTAAAGCTGTGTTCCCTCTTTGTCGTCCCCTTCTCCCTCCTTATGAAACCAAAGCCCCAGGAACCTGGAGACCAGAACGCAAACCCGAAACTCGTAACGCGAAGCCTCGACTCCTAAGCCACTCAGTCCGCCCTGTGAAGCCCGAATCGGAATCCTGCTGAATCCTAAACCCTACCTAGAGTAGCCAATATAGCCACAAGTCAGTACCTTGGCCACTCTAGGTATGCTCTAAACTCTAAACCCTAAACCCTAAACCCTAAGCCATGTACCGAACTCGAAGATTTCCTGAAACCCAGGTGGCCAAGGCAAATGTCGAAGACATGCTGAAGTACTCAGACCACCCGGCAGAGCTGAAGGAGGGGCTCTCCGATGAAAAGAGCGCGCGCAGGGACTCTTTAGCCCCCGGCGCTCCCTAGCAACCGCAAGACTCTACACCCCAAACCCCTCTAAACCCGAAACCCTAAGACTTAACTTTAACCCCTGACCCCTAAACCCTAAATCCTAAGCCCTAACCCCAAACCCTAAACCCTAAATCCGAAGCCTAAATCCGAAGCCCTGACCCCTAAACCCTAAACCCTGAACCTCAAGAGCCGTCGCCCTCAACCCTAAACCCTAAACCCTAAACCCTAAACCCTAAACCCTAAACCCTAAATCCCAAGAGCCTCGAGCCCCTGAGCCTTTAAACTCCGAGCCCCAGGGCCCCAAAAGCCGAGCTTTTCCAGGACAGGAAACCCTGATGCCGACGTTTAGGGTTTAGGGTTTAGGGTTTAGGGTTTAGGGTTTAGGGTTTAGGGTTTAGGGTTTAGGGAGAAACCCCTAAACCCTAAGCCCTGAACCCTGAACCCTAAACCCTTAAACCCTAAACCCGAAGCTCACCTCAGCTTTTCCAGGACAACCTGCTGAAAATGCTCGCCGGCAAGGCTCCTGGCCGGGGGCTCTCATCTAAGGGCACCTTTAGGGTTTAGGGTTTAGGGGCTCCTGTCAGGGTGCCTTGAAAGGGGCTCTAAGTTGTCTAAGGGCTTTGGGATAAGGGAGTTGATGGTTTAGGGATCCTGGTGTAGCGGTTCGGGGTTTGGTTGTTTATAGGTTCCCGAAGCGCTTGGGTATATGATTTGCTTTGTTGGTTTCGCTAGGGTGTGTAAAGAGTCTTACCGGAGTTCTGGATTTTTGGAGGGTCTGTGGCAAGGATCCCGACTTGTCGTTGACTTCCACGGATGCAGGGCTCGGGGGGTTCGGGGTCTTGTGCTGATGTCCGAAACGCCGTACCCGCAAACCGCCGTAACACCAGTAAGGGTGTTGGTTAATCAGGATTATTAGTTAACCATAGGTGAGTAGTGTTAGGTTAGGCGTTTGGAGTCTGCCGATGGTCAATGCAGAACTGGGATGATTGCACGTCGTCAGATTACCATCATGCGCAAGTGGCATAGGGATTCTACAAAGGCCTCTTAAATACAGGTTTATGCAGCTTTTTTAAAAAAGAGTGTATACAGGCTGCAAATACGATGTATTAAAGAAGTCTATTGAACGCAGCACCACCACCCCCCCCCCCCCAAAAAAAA